TAGGTACTTTTGGAACTTGAGAAAGAATCTGGTCACTGACACAAAATAGCTTCCATGATGGTATTTCCATTTCTCTGGGGGGATGGGAGATTTAAATATACTCAGGCTTCGGGGGATGTTTCCCCGCACAAAAGCATTTTTGAAAATAAGTTTCAGTTAAATTAAAAGTTCAAGAGTAAAAATGGAAGATTTCCATTTTCAGAGGGGGTCCAAGAAAACTCTAAAGATAATGGTACAATTACCCAAGTTTACTAATATTTATCCAACTGAAATAAATTGTGGAGGGTGTCTTTCGTTACCATCTACATGTCTTTGCAAAATCAGGGAGTCTGATAGGGATGTCCAATACTGTGGACTCCAAAAGCCTGTGTACAATAGATCTTAGTGGGGAGGGCTGTAGCTGCAGCAAGTGCTAGGAGGGTGGGGTTGGTTCCTGTGGCTAAAGAATCCTCCATCCTCTTCCTTCCCCATTTCTCTTCTCCCAGTCACTTTCACTTCCTGTAGCAGAGGTCCCTGGCTTCCCTTCCTGCTAGTGATGCAGCCGTGTGACCAAGTAGCTTAGAGAAAACTCATGTCCTTAACCTTGAGAAATGGAATCTAGCTGCGAGCTGAAATTATCTCCTCCTCCCCTCCCACCATTTCCCAGCACGACAATCTCACCATCCTTCCATTGCCTTTTAGCATACTTCAAAGCTATCTTGAGAAGTGGCAGAGGGTGGGGGCAAAAGACAAGAGAGGGAACGCAAGAAAGGAAGGAGACAAAGGAGGGGTAGGAAAGCTGGGGGGCAGGCCCATAGCTACTTACCACCCAGGCCTCCTGACTTCCCATCCAGCCGGTTTATTTTATTTTTCACATCCACCATGGCCATGCTGAGGCTGAGCCAAGCTTTTGTCCTGCCCTGCCTGCTGGCAGTGTACTTCTGGCTGGCTGCGGGTGAGGCATGTCACAGAGCACATCTGCTCCCTACTCCAGCCTTATCTCTCTCCTATCACTTTTTAAAAACTTTTACTCTCTTGTTGCTCCTGACACAGTGACCTCCCCCCCGAATTATTTAAACACCCCCTGAAGTAAAAAATCCTGGCTACTGCCCTGAACTGGGGCTAAAGAAGACAGAGAAAGAGGAACTAGAAGAAAGATGAGGAAGGCACATGAGAAAGGCGAAAAAACCCGGCACTGAACAGGCACCAAATGGAAGAACACTACTGGAATATTTTTGCTGGAGAGTAATCATTCTCCATCTATAACCGTTTTAAAACGGCATAGGAGCCCCCCCTGAAGGAACAAGTCGCGTTTCAAATTCCAGAACGTGGACGGACGGCTCATCTTACTCTAGTCAAGGATATGAAATGTGCAAATTGCTTAAATTGTGCTCAGGTACGCAACAGGCTCTCTGCTTTTAAAATAAACGGCTCACATCTGCTGTTATTAATATTATGATTAGATAATACTTCTGTGCATACACAAAGGGCATCCTCTCCGCCCCCCCCCCCAAATAGCCACAGTCCTTCTAATCCTAAATCTACAAAAATCCCTTCCTGTTCAACAGATTAAGGGGTAGCTGCAAGTTTACTTGGAACCGACTTTCTCCAAGACCACAAAGGAGATTTTCCCGGGCAGCACCGCCCCAGCTAAACACGCAGAACTCCCACCGCGCTGCCTCGCCTGCGGTTACAGTACCTGGTGGCCGAACTGGTTGCATGGGAAGGCGAGCACCGTAAACCCGCGGGGCCCAAAGCGCCGCTGCAGCTCGTGGAACTGGGTGAAGTCCCGGCTCGTGGTGCCTCAAAGCGAGGCCACATTGGAAACCAGTACCACCCGCCCCAGAAACGAGCCCAAATCTACGGGCTCCGCAGCGCCTAGCGGCCGCACCATCACGCCCCCTAGTCCAGACAGCGACGACACAGCCATTCTCTCAGACGAAAAGCAAGTGCGCAGGCAACGCTACTCAACCGCTTTTCATGACTCCGAGCAAACTCCGCCCTCACCTCCACCCACCCCCCAGCGCCCTTTCCAGAAAGAGCATCGAGATAACGCCTCTGCCCCACTGCCTTCCTCCGGTTTGGGGGGATGGAGGAATCGCAACACGTGTTCTAACGACATCTTGTTGCTTGTAAACATGCAAAATAGACGGTAATTTAGAGGGCTCTTTTGATCGCTATCTCCTGCCAACCTAGCCGTTCGAAAGCAAGAAATTGCAAGTAGATAAATAAAAGACTTCAGTGGGAAGGTAACAGCGTTCCGTGTGCCTTGGTGTTTAGTCATGCCGGCCACATGACCACGGAAACGTTTTCGGACAGCGCTGGCTCTTCGGCTTAGTAACCCTAGAGTCGGATTCGACTGGCTTTCGAGCAAGGGAACCTTTACCTTTTACCTTTGATCGCTATAGAATAATTTTGAAGTGAATTAATTTTAATTCTCATTTAGTGGATTTAATTCTTATTTAGTGGATAGGCAGTATTATCTTATTCCATTAACTTAATCGAATCACTTCATTGTCTGCTAAAAAAAACCATGCGTCTAGTGTTATCTTAAGAACCAACAAAATGTTACTTCAGCAACAATTTCGTAAATTAGGGCCCAGTTCTTTTAGTGTATGAAAATGACTGCTGCAGTAAAAAGACGATTGCCTTGCCTTTAAAGTGTCCCGACTCGACTCCTGTTTGTTTTCGCTAAGGCAGATTAACATGGAGATTTTTATCCGCAGTAAACCAGCTGGTTTTCTCATTAGAGGTTCTGAGCTACCCCCTTCCCCTTACAAATGTTTACATTGTTTGAACATTGAATTAAATTTGAAAGGTTTCATAATTCACTGGGGTGGAATGTCTGAGATTGTACAAGCGTCAGATGATTGTTTTTCAGTTTTTCTTGGGATGGAGCAACATTTAGATGGAATTTACAGTGCAATCCCAACTGTGTTTAAGATGGTGCTGTCAGATTTCAGCCTTTCATATGTTGTTGCCATTAGCCACATTTCAAGTATGTTAGTCTGGTTGGTGAAGCCTTTCCAAAATATGACTTTTGAAGGATTGCACCATATTGGAGAACCTTTGATAAGTACAATTATGTACAAGCAGGGAACTTGCAAAGAATTTTGGGGGTCACTTTCCCCTGTATCCCTTTTCTCATACTACTTCCCTTTCTCTTGTCACCTCTCTGCTTTCCCTGCTTCCATCTCCCCACTCACCAACAAACCTTTCTTTTATCTGCCCCCCCATCTTCATCCCTATTATGTATTCAGTTATTCCCCATCTAATAAATTAGGCTGGCAAAGTCTCCTTCAAAAATGGCTCACTATAATTACAAAATATTGCTATTATAATCAGTGCCCCCCTCCCTGAAAGGTTAGGTGACTCTCAGTGGAGTAGGTTGAGGCAGAAAGCCTGGGAAGATACTCATATTAATAACATTGATATCAAATACTGTATAAGATGGTTTTATTTATGACTAGTGTTTCTACAGCTATAAAACTGCAATACAATCATTAATAATAACATTTAAAAGGATGCCTTTGATAATATGGGCTGAGTAGCATTTGGAGCGCCTGGGGTGTTTTTGCAGTTTTCCTTGATGTATGTTTACGGGTGATGTGGACTTAATCCTGTTAGTGATTCACAAATGCAGAGTATAAAGAGGCGTAATCTTGTGCATGCTGCTGTGGATAGGGAAGGCTGCTATGTGGAAAAGAGAAGAGGTTTCAACATGTCAGTTCCTCACTGTGCTGTTGTAACCATATTTGGCATGTCTTTCTCTTATGGCTGAAAAAAAGAATGAAGTTCCTCCTGCAAGCTTGGGGAGTTGCTTGTTATATCAGCTTCTACTCATGGGGTATATGAATATGTCAAAGAGGACAAAGCATCTCAGCTATTTTGTCTTATTCCTGATATTGGTAACAAAGTAAGCTGAGGCACTCACAACTCCTATTTCCACCTGAGGTGTTCTTTACATCCCAGCACTAACAGTGGCTTTCTTCTTTGGCTGCGGCTGCCCTTGCTGCTAAGGAGGTCTGTTGTATAATTCACTGATGTGAAAGGTATTGTGTTGAAGTCCCAGACAAGCCCTGCTTAGGGAGACTGAGTTGCTGTACTTTTCTTATGAAACTCACTACCACTCGCTGTGGTGACAATCACTGCCTTAGATAGCTTTAAATAAAGATCAGACAAAATAATGGAAGATGAGTTTATCGGCTGCTACTTATCACAGTAGTTCAAGGACAATGGGGGAGGGGCATTTAGCTTGGGCTTCAAGCTGATAAGAGGCCTCAGATTTAGAAATTTGTTAATTTATTGGCATTTGGTAGGTTTCACAACTTATGTTTCACTCTTTTTTGTTGCCTCGTTACCAGTGTTCCCTCTAAGCTGAGTTAGTGTGAGCTAGCTCAGTTTTTTTAGCCTCTGGCTCACACGTTTGTGTCTTAGCTCAGGAAGGATGGCTCTGGAGGGGACTAATTTGCACAGTAGCCAAATCACCTGCTCACAACTTTAATGCCAGTAGCTCACAAAGTAGAATTTTTGCTCACAGAACTCAATGGCTTAGAGGGAACGTTGCTCGTTACAGTGTCAGCATTTTTTAAAAGTTATGGCTGGGGCCTCAAAAGCTGGAAGTATAAGGCTGCATGGCCTGTAAGACGGAGCTGTTCCACCAGGCCTTTGGTTTAGGCGGTGGGTGCTTAACCATCTAGGCCTTCCCTGCCCATGGTACCAGCTCAGTGCCTTCCAGCTATCTGCTTCTTACCTGCAAACCAGGGTACCTTACCATCTTCTGTTTAAGTGCCTTCTTTTAGTGCCATGGTATTTTGACTGCTTGTTTTTATATTATCAGTTTTATTGCTACTTATATGTGATTTATATGTTGTTATCTATATGTTGTGAGCCACCCTGAGCCCACAACATATTTAGGGTGGGATATAAGTTTAACAACAAGAAGAAGAACAGTAGTTGTAGTAGTAGTAATAAGTGACCTCAGCCTGTCTGGATCTCTGAGAGGGCCTGCAATATAGCTAAATAAAGCCTCAGTGCCCAGTGCAGGAACAATGGTGGAGGGTGGGGCGGGGCTTTGTGCTCTGTTTCTGTACTTCCTGGAGGCATCTGTTTGGCCCCCACTGAAAGTAAAAGGACTTTGATCTGACCCATGTAAATGCTGTGCTAAAAATGCACCTCTCTCTCTTAAGAAATCATTAAAATATTCTGTCTTTGCTGAGGGACAATTTATATCTCCATTGGTTAAGTATCTTAGTGCAATTTCTTAAACCTGTTTTTAAAAGGTAAATGTTGTATCTACATGAATACTGGATGTTTTTAAAAAAAATCAAAGCCATACAAAACAGTTCCCATAACGTACCTTGTATATCGGAGCTCAGACTGCATATCCCATAATCTTGTTTGTTTTACAAATAAATTTCCTTGGTACTTATTTTTTCTAGAAAGTTGCATATGTTGTCCGTTAGTTTGAGGAAGGTATTTTTTAAAACTACTTCCTCAGATCTGAATATTTCAGGCATAAAAATGCTCTCAGCCAAGACTTTTGTGAAATTGTTGTGCAAGAGTAAGTGGGAAGGTGGTAACACTGGTGCAACTGTGTGAAGCTTTTCCTAGATGGGTGAGAAACTTCATGCTGGAAATGTTTGTCTTCTCTTTCCAAAGCCGAGATGATGTAGTGAAACTTCAGACAATGAAAAGACTGTACTAATGAAGCACCTTTTGTTTTATTTATTTATTTATTTTTAAAATTTATTGTTACACTTATATCCCGCCCTCCCCGCGAACGGGCTCAGGGCGGCATACAAATAAGGGCAACATGTGCCACATAAAACATTAAAAACAGGCCGGGAGAGGAAGCCCCACCCCCAGACCACCCCAACTCAGGCACAGGACCTCCGTCTTCGCTGGGTTTAGTTTCAGCCGACTCAGTCTAAGCCAACCAGCCATGGCCTGTAACGCCTGGTTAAGATCTTCTGGACTTGAGTCCGACTGGCCACCCAACATCAGGTAGAGCTGGGTGTCATTTGCATATTGATGACACCCTAGCCCATACCTCCAAGCAATCTGGGCAAGGGGGCGCATTGGGGAAAGCACAGCCCCCTGGGGCACACTGCATTCAAGCGGGTGCCTTTGGGACTGCTGTTCCCCTAGTGCCACCCTTTGTCCCCGACCTTGGAGAAAAGAGGTGAACCATTGAAGGGCACGCCCCTGTATCCCCACATTTTACTGTTGTCTCCACTGCTTGTGCAATTCCAGGAGCTTCTGAAGAACCAAGACACACACTCTATATACTAATAGGTACCATGGCTGCTGTGGCAATATGTGTGTGTGTGTGTGTGTGTGTGTGTATGTACTGCTAAACACAAAACATTTATTAGGGAGAGAGAAACATTGATCTGAATCCAACTCTTAAGTCTAGTTAGGCTTGTAGTCCTGAAAGTGGTAGGAGCTTAATGATTTTCAGTCCATGTGGCTTTCACATATAGAGCATTATGAGTGGGAAAAGCTCTTTTTCACTGATATTTTAGGCATGTTCTAGTTTATAACCTGTAGTTTTGTACTCCCCTGCTTTCTATTCCTTTGGCTTGCTTATCCCATCTACAGATTTTGTCCTGTTTTTCTTCAAAACAAAATGCCTTATCAATCAATATATCAATTTCTGAACCACATCACAGAGGATATGATGGATAGAGCCACAAAATGGAGCTAGATACAGTTGTTTGTGGTGGTGGGATTTCTCTACAACCAGAGAGAGAGAGAGAACATTGGGGGATTAAAATGCCCCAAAATAACGATGTCCAAAGCTTTAAGACAAGAATGCCTATGGAACTTTTCAGTGGCTGTTGGATGTTGCTAGACAACCACATCAATATTGTCAAGTCTTCTAATCTGTTGTATCTGTAAACCAAAGCAAGGGAGAATGGAACAGGAGTGGACTTGAAAAGTACGCAGACGGAGAGTG